ATCCTATGAAACACTAAAGAATTAAATAACTCTTATGAATTTGAATGTTAATAATTGCAACTGTCTAAAAATTTTATAAATTACATATTCGCAAGAAGTCCATGGAAATAAGTTCCAGCAAATGTAATCGAACCTTCGTATAACACAGTAAATTAAACAACTGCATGGACCTTCTGGATAGAAGCGCTAGCTATACTTTTAAGTACGTAGCTCGATTTATAGAGGCTAATACCGATTTATGGAGGCTATTTGCAAGAGATACCGTAGTGTATAAATTACATTTGAAAAAATAAAACGATGTAAAATATTCCCAGAAATTATTCGAAAAGATATTAACTATCAAAACCACAGATCCGTCAAAACGAGGCGCTTATATAAAGTATACGTCACAAAATTCTCACCTGGTTACTATACTGCATCAGAGTTTCTGCAACATGACATAAAATAACCTTCAGTTCTAGCGAGCATGCATCTCATGCACGAGTATGAAAATGAGCTCCATAGCAGGCGTAACATTCAATAAGCTAAGCCATATTTAGTGTAAGCCTGAAGCAGTTTCGCACGTAAGCCTTCAAACGTGATTATTTTTATACCAAAAGATCAATTTCTTTGAGGCCTAACTGCCGAGAGCTAAAAGTCGAATGGATATTAAGGTTCAGAATTATCGTACCGTTTTGCATTTGAAATTGACGTCTTTGCAAGTATTTTAGGTGAAAATCGCCGATGCTACGGTTTCTGTTCTAATTCATTGTTTATATCTATAATTGATAGGAAAAAAACTTCAGAAAACATTGCAATTCCATCTTCGCATGAACGACAAATTTAAAAGATCTCAAAAAGGAGATTTTTAAGTCGGAAGCTAACGAAATTTCGCAGCTAACTCTATTATTGTAGATATACAGTAGGTAATCATCGACGAAATGACAACACGAGTTTTTTGTTGTCCTTTAGATCGAGATAATATTCGATTAACAAAATATTCAAAATTCGAAGATTTTATCGAAAATTAACCAACTGATTTTCGGGCCAATGTTAGAGAAGGTCTCGCGTACAAATCCTATACAAAGTTATTACTATAGTTCTAGTCCTACCAAGTTATTACTATAGTTTTAGTCCTGCCCAGTTATTACCATAGTTCTAGTTCTGCTAAGTTATTACTATAGTTCTAGTCGTACTAATTTATTACTATAGTTCTAGTTCTGCCATGTTATTACTATAGTTTTAGTCCTATTAATTTATTACTATAGCTCTAGTCCTACCAAGTTATTACTATAGTTCTAGTTCTGCCAAGTTATTACTATAGTTCTAGTCCTACCAAGTTATTACTTTAGTTCTAGTCCTACCAAGTTATTACTTTAGTTCTAGTCCTACCAAGTTATTACTATAGTTCTAGTCCTACTAATTTATTACTATAGTTCTAGTTCGGCCAAGTTATTACCATAGTTCTAGTCCTACCGAGTTATTACTATAGTTCTAGTCCTACCAAGTTATTACTTTAGTTCTAGTCCTACCGAGTTATTACTATAGTTCTAGTCCTACTAATTTATTACTATAGTTCTAGTTCTGCCAAGTTATTACTATAGTTCTAGTCCTACTAATTTATTACTATAGTTCTAGTTCTATAGTTCTAGTCCTGCCAAGTTATTACTATAGTTCTAGTTCTGCCAAGTTATTCCTATAGTTCTAGTTCTGCCAAGTTATTACTATAGTTCTAGTTCTGCCAAGTTATTACTATAGTTCTAGTCCTGCCAGGTTATTACCATAGTTTTAGTTCTGCCAAGTTATTCCTATAGTTCTAGTTCTGCCAAGTTATTACCATAATTCTAGTTCTGCCAAGTTATTACCATAATTCTAGTTCTGCCAAGTTATTACTATAGTTCTAGTCCTGCCAAGTTATTACCATAGTTTTAGTTCTGCCAAGTTATTACCATAGTTTTAGTTCTGCCAAGTTATTAATATAGTCCTAGTTCTGCAAAGTTATTACTATAGTTCTAGTCCTGCCAATTTATCACTATAGTTCTAGTTCGGCCATGTTATAACCATCGGCTGGTGTGGAGACCTTCATACAAGTACCTTAAGAGGAGTCGCAGAGTGAAGTATCGGCATGTGCATACATGAGAGGGCGTACACTGGGCTAAGTTCTTTAGTTGGCCGAGGCTTATCGAACACAACTGCATGCTAATCCAACTTGCTACGGAGACAACACCTACATAATGGCGAGCTATGTAGAGCCCAACAACGCGACCAATATTGAAGCCGCGTTAACATGGGAAGACGCGGAAGAATCTATAGGGTTGAGCATGCATACAATTACAATTACTGGATATCCGACATTAAAGTCGGTCACTTGTATTCATGTCGAATTAAATTTGTGCAAATATTGATTGTACCATCTTCCATGAATGAAAATTAAATAGCGCCATTGCAATATTTCATGATTGTATTCTCTAAATAACTATCGTAGCATGCTAGGCTTGTAAAGAATACGATTCCAATTTGTCCATTTATGCCCAGTCACACTCCAGTAAGTGATGAAAATATGGAAACAGAAATGTCGTACACAAATATGTGATGGATTATGTCAGAAAAAAATCGCCGCACTATACTCGAACTCAGCTGCAGAAGTTGTTCTATTCTTAGGTTCTTCAGTGGATTTAAAGATCAAAGGAACACACAGAGGCGACGTTGATCGAGAAGCCCCGTTTTCCATCCATACATTTTTAGCGAGATCAGGCTGACCTGTTCTGTTTGAATGCGCAACGTCGTTGTCCATTGATTTTTTTTCTGCAGTTTAAAGTGTTGTTCAAAGCTGAATAGAATATACAGTAGCTTTATTCCATCGACAGAAGTGCAAGTTATGAGTTAGGGACGACTGGGGGCTACGCCCGAGCCTCGTACAAGAAACAGGAGACTTGCTGACAGTCTTTCTCGATATGTGAAGAGTGAAGAGTCATCTTGAACTCAATTTGGTCGCTCTCATGAATAATGTCGCTGGTCTGCAATGCATGTCAAGGGGACTAAGGACTAAAAAGCCACCACGTAAGATTCAATATTTTTATCGAATTCATTAAAAGGTAGAAAAGAGCGGACCAGAGATCAAGGAAATAGTTTCAAAGTTCAGTGCAATTACATAACAAATGTTATGTAAATAGTATAATAAATATTCCAACAATATTGATATTCAAATATAATAAATGAAAAATTATCAATTTCCCATTATGATGAAAAATTTTGCATTATTTTCTGAAATGAATGCGACAGGAGCGGTTAGGTTGTTGCCTAGTAAATCTAGTTCAGACAATTGCGCGTCATTACGAGAAGATTAGAAGAAAAGCTTTTTAATGAACCAAAAATGCTGATACCGCCAATGCAAGGTTTCGTCGAGCGCTGAATCAGCATTAGTGAATCAAACAAATGTATTAACCCTAACATTCATTGAATATTACAAGCATCGTGAGAAAACGCGCAATTCTTGTAGTTGAATGTGTGCAAAAAAACGCTGACGCGCGCAAATAAACAAAATAAAAATAACAAAATTGCGAGAAAACATGACGGCGATTCAATGGCGAAGATGAATCTAAAATATCAGCAAATTATTTTTGGCTGAACGAGCAATTTTATTTTTACGTTATGACAATTACAGAGCAGCTGCGTCATGGTTGAACTATAAGCTTAACTAGCTATAAATAAGGTTGAACTATAAGCTTCTACTAGTTCAACCATGAGCTGCGTAGCAACGTTCCGCGGATGAAATCACGCGATGTGTGATCTCTATTACCAAGAGGCGGATGAAGTGCAAGGCCGCGTCTATTTCGAAGTTGATAAATTATATAGTTTTCAAATTATAGTAAAAATTTACAATTATATTTAGCTGATTAATGTAAAAAATGAACTTTTTACTTATACAATTTCGATTAAAGTTATCAAACAATTATAAATTGCCATTATTATTCAAATAGATCTTCCTAAGGGCCACGTACTAAAGCGTTCTTCTTAACACGTGAAAAAAGCATCCCAGCACGGTAATATTATTAAGGGAACAGTTCGATTCAATTCCACACCTGTTCTCAAAACTTAAGCTTAAAAGTTTTAAACTGATCCTTTGAAACCGCATGGCTGTATTTGTTTCGTGAAACGATACTTTGAGAACGAAACAAAGGTAAACTTGAATACATTTTACGAACAATTCATCATAACGAATACGTCTCATACATGGCGGTAACAACAAAGCTGTGCAGCCCAAGGCTGGTCGCTCAGAGGCAATCGTGTCTCAGGCCAAACAGCAAGCAATTCCAACACTCGAAGCTACGATGCTATCTCAACGTGAGCGTCACATGGCTAGGTCTGCAACAGCATTAAGTCGCTGCTGCGACACGCGAACTAGGAACATGACAGTGAGAGAAACGCCTTAAGGGTCCGACTAAAGCTCCGGGCATATGCTCGGTGGCGCGAACTGCCTAGTACTTCGTAGTCTATCATGACTCATGAGTATTATTTGGTTAATTAGATTCAAGTTCATATACACATTTGAAATATTTTATGTGGTCTTTAACTATAATTTAACGTGTTTGAATAGAATAATCACTATCTTGCTTCCTTCTTTTCACACGTGGAAACAAGCCTCAACTTTCAAGTACATCAGCGAGATGTTCAGAGAAAGATTAAACTATATATGACCAGCCATTCGCGAGACTAGAGAACCAAGTAATCCTAACTTAACCAACCCCCAACGAAGCCCACAACTGTACAGAGACAACTACGGTAGCGACGCGAAACAGGAAGTGAGGAACATGTCAAGAGTTAAAATAAATTGCTTTTACACGAGCATCTAATTGGAATATCTCAATCTTAACTTACCTTAATAGCCTATAAGCTAGGTAGGAGATGTAATGTTTAAAAATCCAATGGAATTACCTTGCCACATTGTAGTTGTTCAATGACGAATGTATATTAAATTTTCAAATCTATGGTTACGTACATTGCTAGGTTTAATAACTTACCTCAATTGCACGTTTGATGAGAAGCCTGCCTCGTTGCAAGACGCACGTAAGTTCGTAAAATAGGCTACGTTCTATATGGATAGGAAATTTTCAACTAAGGATAAAGTTCAACTAACAATAACTAATTTGTCGGTAACACACACACATTCGAATCGAAATATAGGTTCACCTCAAGTTCCATTTCGAACTATCAATTACAAATTTGTCGATTACACACATAGGTATTCGAATTGAAATGAAGATAGCTATACCAAGTTTTTTCGACTATCTGGAAAAAATCGCCAGCCACATGAGAGCATAATCTTGCATTAAATATTCGCTGATTAGGCGAAAGATCATTATCAAATTATTTCAAAGCTAATAAGAACTGTTATAGGTAACTGCAGAACGCTTATCATAAAATGTGCACCAAAATGCAAAGAAATGCATTTTGTCATATAATTATACCATTTTCCCAAATTACACCAAAAGTTACAATCCAGCCATTTTTATTCTTAGGTATGCGGCATTTAGCAAAATTTATCGTAGTTTCACAAATGTGAACCATCCTATGCATTATTAAATAGCTTTGTATGAACTCGAATGTATGTATCTAAATTTAACCGTACTGAAGCATAATTATAAAACACTAAAAATGAGGTAGCAGGTGCAAGAACTGCCGGTGCTACACCGACTGCTTGCAAAATGATCAGATCAGATCCCAGGCCAGTATGAGCTGCCAGCCTGTCGCCGGTGCCGGACCAACGCTGGCGAAAAACCACCTGTTCAAGTTATCTTCACCTAATTCAGTGTACTTTCCTATTAGAAATAATAATCAAGCTAAATACATTGACGATCAATATTATTTTATAATTCCTAAAGTCTAAAAAACGTGTATTTATATTAATGAGATAGCAAATCTTTGCTTCCAAGGGGCAGGGGTGAGATGTTTGCGCTTCACAGGGTCAACATCAGTCTACAAGCGAGTGCTACCCATCCTCACAACCTCTCTCGGCGGTGTCAACACCGACACTGCATCGAAAGCGGACTGCGGACTTGCTTGACTTGGGCGGCATCTGGAGAGACAGATATCTGAACAATTTCAGTTTTTCCGCCACAATTCAATAATTAAGATTAAATAGACAATGCATTTATTTATATACAGGATTCAGGGGTATGCGGGGCAGATGCGACAGGCCAAATTCTTCAATCGATATCGCGGGCCATTGATACAATTCACTAATGACATTGCACGTTTAAATCAAAGTAATTTAATTCTCACAGTAGCTATTAGATATGCATTAGCAACAGAATGCATTACAAGGCTTGACATTCTTCGCGTGCCACGTCCTACATTCTAATAAACTATTATTCTGGGCTCCTAGATACACATACGAGTAAGAAACAACTAATTAACTCACACATGAGTGTGAAAGTGAGTGAATACAAATATTACTACCACTATTCTGTAGGATTAATAAAATCTATTTCATTACGTAACCACGCATTGCGTAGGTAGAAGTTCACTAATCCGTAATTAAATCTTAATTAATTCACGAATAACTAATTATTTACCATAAAAAACTAATTTAGATAAAAATTTTAATATTATAGTTAACTTTACAAACACTCTTGATAGAAATTCCTCTTGATAGAAATATGTGCAATTGAGCTGCTATATATAATGGAAAGCTGAGATAATTATTGAATTTCACGATTCATCAACAAAGCACAACGCAGTCTTGGACCCGTCCTAAATTTGAACGAATATAAGGTTATTTGCAGCGTTTATTTGCGTTTCTATTGAGGACTTTACGCTAAAGTTCTTCGTAGCGATGTTGTGTTTTTCGGCCGGCGTCGCGTAAACCGATCCTATCGATCATTTTGTTTTTGTTAAATAATCCCCAGCCTATCTCGAGCTAGGGTTGGCAACGATTAGCCTTTAACCTTCCGAATGGTCGCCATATTACTTCTCATCATAATGCTATTCCTATCAGAGTTGCTACTTGATTTGAAGAAAAATAGTCAAAATTACTGAAGCTCTCTGAAGTGAATGATATAACCAAGTGCTGTACAAATATGATTAAAAACTGCATTCGATGAACCACTGCAAAATGTTCTACTGCAGTGTTTTATCCACATGCTATTTTTACGGATGGTTGCGGCTAATGGAAAATTAACCTAAAATTTTAAGCCTCTGAAATTTCTAATTTTCAAGTTTTAAAAGTGAGTTATGAGCCACCGCCCCTACATCAGCATTAAGTAAATGTACATTTTTTCGTCACTATTACTTCAGTTATTATTAGCGTATCATGTAATGAGCTTAACACTTTATATTCCTGATTATTTTCTAAAAATAGAGCATTTGGTACTTTCCAAGCTCACTATGCTATTATTAACATCAAGATCCATATATTTTCTAATTAAGGCAATGAAGAGCAAACAAAACATTCCAATGATAAGATAGCTTATCGTTTATAGAAACGAATGTACATGGTTTACATTTTTGCTGCGATAAATTCGGTATACATAATTTTAGCTGCTATATTTTTGTTTCAATCATAATGTTGTCAAAGCTCAGGCGTTGAACAAGGTTCGATGTAAATCAATACAGAGTGAAATGTAGTTATTTTAATTATTATGGTCTTTATATGGTCTTTATTTGAGGTACCGATAGTGCAGTTATTAAACTGGCAATAAGGAGTCATTGAGAACTTAGAAGATGTCATACTAAGTAAAAATGTGCAATATCAATTAAGTTGCCGTAGTTGAGTTAATAAATTAAACTAAAGAGTAAGACGTGATTATTATGGATGTGATAGTTCGAAGTAAGTTGCAAGGTGCAGCCTTTGAGGACTTAACATATCAATTAAGGAGTAAGGCACAGTCCTGGGGACTTGATATAACTAAATAAGGAGTGAGGTGCAGACTTTGAGGACTTGACAGATCAAACTAAAGTGTAATGATCAACTTTTGATGACCTAATATTAATTGGACTGAATAAGAAGTCATTCGGGCAAGTCCTGAGGTCTTGATAGGACGGAGTAAGGAGTGAGGCACCGCCTTTGAGGACTTAATATATCAAAATAAGGAATAAGGCGCAGTCTTGGAAGACTTAATATATAGAACTAAGGAATAAGGCGCAGCATTGGAAGACTTAATATATCAAAATAAGGAGTGAGGCACCGCCTTTGAGGATTTAATATATCAAACTAAGGAATAAGGCGCAGCCCCTAAGGACTTAATATATAGGTATCAGAATAAGGTGTAAGGAGCAGCCGCTCAGGACTTGATTCACCAAACTAAGGAATAAGACGCAGTCCTTAGGATTTGATAGGCAAAGAGTAAGGAGCAAGGCGCAGCCTCTGAGGACTTGATATATCAAACTAAGGAGTAAGGCGCTGCCTCTGAGGACTTGATATATCAAACTAAGGAGTAAGGCGCAGCCTCTGAGGACTTGATATATCAAACTAAGGAGTAAGGCGCAGCCTCTGAGGACTTGATATATCAAACTAAGGAGTAAGGCGCCATCTCCTCCCTTAGTTTGTCCACGCCCTCCAGCCTGCCTGTCGGTTTCGGCCTGTTCTGTCTGGCCTTATTTTGTTAAATCATTTATTTATATCTGGCTTTGTTTTATTAAATCATTTATTTATGTCTAGTTTAATTCTATTATTAAATCATCCCCAGAGTTCCTTCTTAATTGTCAGGCCTTGTCTGGCGCGCTGAATGCAGCAAAAAAATTATCTTCAATATAATATTCTTGTGCGTAGCATTTACACAAAATAATGGCTTCATCACATGCAGATTCTTATATTAAGTTTTGAGCACTCATAAAATAGTTTTATTCGTTATAACGGGGAAATCGCCATTCTAAA